AAATTAGTGTTCTAGGGCCAGGGGCGAAGAACACAAGACTGAACTGTAACCTCTAATCCCAGATTTATTTTTATTTCCTTGATTTTCACGGAATACCGACACCCTGAGTTGAGTCTTGGGGAATACCTCAACTAGGGGACCCAGAGTGTTGGGAGACCTCTGTTATGCAAAAGTCGAAGCCCCTTCACACCGGACAGCTCATGCAGCTCGGGGAATGTGCCGTGGGCTCCTTTTCATAGCAAGGTGCTTTCTTTCTGGCATCTTTCCTGTCTCTCCCTTTGAAGTGGCCGCCACAGATGCCTTGACATAAACATGGCCTTTGGCTCTATGCATACCTTGCCTTCCTGTGTGTGGTTTTTACAGGTAGACAATAGTCTAGCAGAAACCCACTTCCACATGTAAATAGAATATCTCACAAAGTATCTAAAAGCTTTTACCACTACCCCCATGGTATATAAATATGCTAGTCTTCTCTTAATAGTCGGAGATCGGGTCAGAGACTGAGTCCCAGAGATTGGGTCCCAGAAAGCTGGATCAGCAGAGAGCTGGACAGCAAGGAGCAGAGATACAATAAAGCAGTAAACACAGACTAAGCCGTGCCTTGAGTCCTGTGTCTTACTACCGGCGACCTGATCTCACCGGAGAGCAGCACTCTCCGTTACCGACCCACGGATACCCCAGCTTTCGCCGCATCCGTGCTTCTTCCCTGTGGAGTTCACTGGCCAGAACTCCGCAATCCTGAGGAAGGGCACAAGGGTGTAATAGAGGCGGGATCCCGACTAGATAATACTCTAGTTGCAGAGGAAGCTCTCCGCTCCAGAGAAGTGTGTAGCTATCAGCTACAGCCAGCATCAGAGAAGTCTGCGCACCTGCCTCACGCCGGGAGTGCCCGCACACACCACGCCGGGGGTCAAGCGACCCCCCCCATACAGAGGAGGGGTTGTGCTGCTTATAAGTATACCCGGTGTAAAGGAAAGTGCTCTCACTAGAAGAATGTCCTAGGTTGAGAGAGTCTCAGCTAGGAGGAGGGATCCCAGTTAGGGGCATGTCACAACTTGGGAGTATTTGGGTTAAGAAAGATGTTTCTATAAGTTTGGGAGAGTATACAATTAGGAAACTCCTGTTGCGCAGATAATCCAACTGAGGGTATGTAATCTCCTAAATAGAATGTCTACCCCCTCAGGAGAGGACCATTCTGACAGGGAGGAATGCCCTAGTTGGCAAGTCCTCCATTAGTGGAGAATTCTGATCAAGAATTCTGGCTGGGAGGGTATGTCTGGCTGGGACCTGTATCCCAATAAAAAAGATCATTCTGATTGGGGAGTTTCTCATGTGAGGAGATGCTGACTCCAGTTAGCATGGAGTGCCCCAATTGGGAGATATGCTCTCCCTAGTTACCCCAAGGTCTGCCAGATGCAAACTTCCTGCACACAAGGCAAACCTTTCCTGCAGACTAAGTAGCCTACATTGGACAACAAACAAAGTGCTACCAGAACTATCTTGGGCCAATCCTGTCTCTCTCATCTCTGGGACTTTTCTCAGAAAGGAAGCAAGAGTAAAAGTGCAATCTTGGAGCTGGAGAGATGCTCAGCAGTTCAGAGCACTGGCTGCTCTTGCAAAGGATCTGGGTTCAATTTTCAGCACCCACATGGTGGCTAACAACCATCCATAACTCCAGTTCCAGGGGATCCAGTACCCTCTTCTGACCCCTGAGAGCATTTCACTTCTCAGGTGCACTTACATACATGCAGGCAATACACTCATACACATAAAATAAAAATAATAAAGGAAAACGTATATGATGGAAAGAGAGAACCAACTCCTGCAAGTTATCCTCTGACCTCCACCTCTATATGCATGTAATCAATCAATCAAAAAATAATAATAATAATAATAATAATAAAATCATTTTTAAAAGTGCAACCTTATTTTGTGTTTGTTTGTTTGTTTTGAGACAGGGTCTCCCCTTAGCCCCAACTGGCCTGGAAATTGCTCTGTAGACCAGGCTGGCCTCGAACTCACAGAGATTCCCTGCCTCTGCCTCCTGAGTGCAGCACCATGCCTGGCTAAACGTGCAGTCTTATTGACAAAAACTAAGGAAGTGGGGGCTGGAAAAATGGTTCAGTGGTTAAAAGCACTGGCTGCTCTTGCAGATGACCTGGATTCAGTTCCCAGAACCCACATGGTGGCTAACAACCATGCATAACTCCAGTTCCAGGGGATCCAGTACCCTCTTCTGACCCCTGAGGGCATTTCACATCTCAGGTGCACTTACATACATGCAGGCAATAAGCTCATACACATAAAATAAAAATTAATTAAGGCCAGGCGTGGTGGCACACACCTTTAATCCCAGCACTTGGGAGGCAGAGGCAGGTAGATCTCTTCGAGTTCAAGGCCAGCCTGGTCTACATAGTGAGTTCCAGGACAACTGGGGCTACAGGGAGACCCTGTCTCAAAAAGACCAAAAAAAAATTTAATTAATTAAAAATGAATACATAAAAACTAAGGAAATTTTGAGTCTTGACAACCAGTCTGGGCTCAGTATCACAAAGAGACAGACTTTGGAAAATGCTGTGCTATGTCTGCCACTGTGGTTACTATGTGATCTGCCACATAGAGACGAGTTGCCATCCTAGGTTTCTTTTTCTTTTTTTTTTTTTTTCCTTTTGTCTTTTTGAGACAGGGTCTCCCTGTAGCACCAGCTAGCTTGGAACTCACTATGTAGACCAGGCTAACCTTGAACTCACAGAGATCCACCTGCCTCTGCCTTCCAAGTGCTGGGATTAAAGGTATGCACCACCATGTCAGGCCTCATTCCAGGTTTCTTTAAGAGGGGTGAACTGTACAGTCAAAGCCTAAGGCAACTTGTGATGGGCTGGCAACCTGAGCCTTTCTAGAAGGCATGGAAAGTAGTCAGTGCAGTGCTCAGCAGCCCATGGTTCAACTGGAACATTTTTCCCCAACACACCCCTCCATCTCAGCTCCTGAGTTTCCTTTCTCTTGTGTGAAACCTCTTATTTCAGGTATCTGCATAATTTCCTTCTTTCCCATCCTTGTACCTGATATGAAACAGGAAGAGAAGCCTTCCTTTCCTCCTTCTCACCCCTCACCTGATACCCTTGATGCATTTTGCTCCACAGCTCTGCATATCATCTGACTCCCTTATACCCAAATGTTGCATATTATGGATGGCCACTGTTTTGTGTGTCCTAGTGCCTAAAACAGCACTCTCTGGCATACAGAGAATTAAAAAAAAAAAAAAAGACTATTAAGTGAAGAAGTTGAAACATGGAGAGGAAACACCCCCCCCCTTTTTTTTTGGCTTTTTGAGACAGGGTCTCCCTGTAGCCCCAGCTGTCCTGGAACTCACTATGTAGACCAGGCTGGCCTCAAACTCGCAAAGATCCGCCTGCCTCTGCCTCCCAAATGCTGGGATTAAAGGCGTGCACCACCTCACCCAGCGGAGAGGAACCCTTTTACCAGGCAAATATGATGTGAACTAACATGTCAGAAGGCTACAGGCAGCTCTTCCATGTCCAGTTTGCAACCAGCTGCACCTACGCTACAACTGAATGACCACTAGCCATCTACCTGGCAGCTGTTGCTCCTGGCAGGTGAAGTGAACTCACATTCAAATCAGTTCTGAGGGACAGGTCCATTTCCCATTCCCATTTTATAAGTGTGTGAACCAATGTAAGGAAATTTAGTTTATGCAGCCAAAGACTGAGGTGAGACTTCAACCCAAACTTTCCTTTCAGCTGTGGGGCTGCACTACTTCCAGCAGGTATTTATATATTCCACCCGTGGCCTCCTTTCTGCCTTTCTCTACAACTCACCTGTCCCATAGAGTTAAATGTTAGGTATGTGGCTGACTGGTGATAGATCATATTGCAAGGTATGTATGCAAAAAATATCACCCACTTCTCTGGCCTCCTGACACCGGGATGTAGGTCTAGTTGACTGAGTGAGGTGAAAACTAAACAGCCACCTAGGATAAGGGTGGAAACCCCAGCTTGTGGTTAATGGTGTGCACAGCCAGGAATCTGCACTCTAGTGCAATCTGTTCCCTAAGAGTCTGTGAGCTAGTTGGCTACACAGCCAAGGTGGCCACTACATCTAGCAAAGCGGCTTCTCCCACATCAGTGATGAAATTTGACTAACTCAACAGTGACCACTTCCAGTGAGAATATTGTACATGAAGGACAACAGGCCAATGCTTATTCCCAAGGTTCTCCTGGAGATGAAGGTGCCTGTGGGGTACCTCTCTGAAAACTGTCCCACAGAACTCTTGACTTTCTATCTTGCTCCAGGGACCTAGATTGTAGTCCCATAGTTTCAAGGCTGTTTCCCCAGTAGGGGTAGGTAGGAAGAGGCACAATGCTCAGTGTTGAGAGTGATCCCAGACCCAAGAGTAGAGGAGGGTCTACTGAGAGCAGCACCTGGCAAGGTAGCTTCCCACAAATCTCTTTGATGGCTGGGCATCAAATGCACCACGTAGAACAGTTGCAGTGCTGGCCATCAACGCATAGTGTGGTAACAAATGGAACAGGAGTGTGTAAGGATCGTCCTTAAGCAGATAAGGGGAAAATTTAAAAATAAGTAAAAGGATACAGGAGACAGGCCAGCACAGCTGGATCCAGGCTGCACACTCAAGGAGTGGAGAGGACCTTGGGGGTGGACAGATAAGAGGGCAGGGAATAAGCTTGAAGTAGAGCTTTCAGCAGGATAGGGCAAGAGCTGGGTTAAGGCAGAAACTGGGGGGTTGGGGGAGTGGCTGAAGGCTGGGGTCCTATGAGAGGAGAGTAGGTCAAGGGGGAGCCCCAAAGAGTATGTGGCAGAAATGGGATCAGGGGAGGAACTCTTGGAGGGCAGGCCATGTGAGAGCAGAGAGGTCAAGGAAAGAACTTGAGAGGGTGTATCCTTCAGGAGTGAAGTCTAGGGCAGAGCTCTAACTTTGAGGTTAGGCTGCAGAGCAGGAAGGCCAGTCACTGCCCAGCTCTACAAATAAAGCGCTTTATTTATACAGTCTCTCCAGGTCCCAGATCCCTGTTGCCCCACCGCAGCCTGGAAAGAAGTGGGCAGACTCCAGGGGAGCCAGAAGAGGCTGATCCACAAGGGGTGGTCTGGGTAGCTGCAGGTCCTGAGTGGATGGGCCGGGCAGAGAGCAAAGGCACGAGACCCTGGGCACCCCATCCCAGGGCAGAGGCCAGACCCACCAAAGAAGGCGGCACAGGGTTAACTCTCCAGGGTCAGCTCCCAGGGGTCAGGCCAGGGTCTGTACTGGCACCACAGCTCTGCTCATAGGATGGTGGAGCCTCTGTGGGGAGAAAGCAGGATCTACAAGGGGTTCAAAGGTGTCATTCCCTCACCCACGTTCTTGTCATTTCCACTCACCATAGGGGTAGCCCCATGAACTGTACTCTGGAGGGAGGATCAAGGTGCTGCTAGTGGGTACTGGGCCCCCAGAACCCTCCGCAAAGTAGGGGACAGTGGCACCTGTAGAGATGCACAAGGGAGGGTGCAGGGAATGCTGGGCAGGACTCCCATCCTGAGTACAGGACTCAGCAGTGGTGCCAGACATAGAACCCGAGGAGGCAGACGGTGGCTGCTGCTGAGAGTGGCTCTTGGTAGAGAGGGAGACTGGGTCTGAGAAGTGAAGGCCACTTGCCACTGCCTCGGCCTCTTCTTCCTGGGGTGGTGCAGAGGGCACCACTGAGGACAAGGCCCCAGGAGAAGATCCCAGACCTGGACAGGGGCTCAGTGGGGTTTGGTTCACAGCAATATTGCCAACAAAGAGTGGAAGGGTAACAGTAGCTTCAGGTGCCTTCATGGAGACCTGGAAAGAATGCAAGTGTTGAGAAACCAGAGCCAGAGACACCTAGTGTGAGGCCACCCAGCCCTGGGCAACACCAAACCTGTAGGTAATAGTCAATGTGAATGAGGCTGCAGCCAGGCAGAGCTGACTGGGGCAGGGCAGGCACCAGGATCTGTTCTAGCCACTGAGCACGCCTCCAGGCCTTGACACCTGCACCCTCTACTTCTGCGATGGTACGCACATCATAAATCCAGCGCTTGGCCTTATAGGATACCTTCTGAGGAAAGATGAAACCATGGACTTGGGCAGGCCAATAACCTACCCCTTCTGTCCCATGGGAAAGGGGCAGGCTTAGGGAGCCAGAGAGGTCTGACCTGCAGCAGGCTGGCCACCACAGGGCTGGTGTCCTTGCCTGACTGGTTTTCGATGTCAGCCTGCAACCGCAGCACCTGCCCCACCACGTAGCCACGGAGGTCAGTGCTAACAGTGAGGACCACACTGCCCGTCTTCACCAGCTTGTAGGAGAACTTCTTGGTAGCAGAGGCCACATTGGGTTGCTTGAAGTAGAAGTGAAGGGGAGCTTAGCAAGTGAGCACAGATTACATTCCTGTGGCATGGGGACAGGCCCTCAGCCTGCCCTAGACACCAGAAGTCAGCTTAGGACAGAGCCTGGCTGCTTCACCTCAACTGGGCACAGGACACTGAGGCCCTAGAAGGCTGGAAGTCACAGAGGAGGACCCCGCTCCATTCTCACCTCAATGTCTGGGATGCTGTTCAGATTCAGGGGGCTCAGGATGTAGAACACAAGGCTACATTTGTGATCCTTGGAAAAACGTGGAGTGTCGATGGTGGCCTTCACCTGGTAAACAATCTTCCCAAAACGTCCCTCGAAAGATGTAGGTGCTGTGGCTGGGGAGAGAACAGGGATTGACTGGTACCCAGCACCTCCTACCTGTGGGTCCCACCATCCCAGGGCTGCTATACCCATAAGCTATGCACTCACCAGGAAGCAAGAACTGAAAGGGGAAGTTGTGTTCTCCAGCTGGCAGACTCCCTACAGGGACAAGAAAGAGGTGGTAGTAGGCCTGAGGTGACTCACAGTGGTCACAGTGCTAGGCCAGCAGCAACAGGCACTGCAGCCCACCAGTCCATACTGCTAGTCTCCAGCATTATAGAAGCGTAGCCATAGTGGGAGCTAAAGGCCACAGACAAAAGCTTGGTTTAAGCAAGAGTATGTGGTTGGAGATGTAGTTGGTAGAGTGTTTGTCTAGCATGCATAAAGCCCTGGGTTAGATCCCCAGGATCACATAAACTAGGTATGGTGCCACATGCCTAGGAAGTGGAAGCAAGAGAATTAGAAGTTTAAGGTCATTCTCAGGTTACCTAGCAAGTTTGAGGCCAGCCTAAGGTACACAAGACCCTGATTGAAAAAATAAGTAAACAAAAATTTAAAAATATTAAGGCTGGAGAGATGGCTCAGCAGTTATGAGTACTGGCTGCTCTTGCAGAGGACCTAAGTTCAATTCCCAGCACCACGTGGTGGATAACAACCCTCTGTAACTCCGGTTTGAGGGGATCTGACACCTTCTTTTGACCTCCATAGGCATTGCAGGACATGGGTGTATTTACCTACATGCAAGCAATGCACTCATACACATAAAATAAAAAATAATAATTAGCCAGGTGTGGTAGTGCACTCCTTTAATCTCAACACTTGGGAGGCAGAGGCAGGTGGATCTCTGTGAGTTCAAGGCCAGCCTGATCTACATAGCGAGATCTAGGCGAGCGGGAGCCATAGAGAGACCCTGTCTCAAAAAGCTCATAAACACCAATAATAATAATAATAAATTTTTTTAAAAAGGGGGGGCTGGAGAGACGGCTCAGTGGTTAAGAACACTGGCTGCTCTTGCAGAAGACCTGAGTTCGTATCCCAGCACCAACATGACAGCTAACAACTGTCCATAACTCCAGTCCCAGAGAATCCAACAGTCTCTTCTGTCCTCTGAGGGCATTGCATGATATAGGTGCACTTACCTACATGCAGGCAATACAGGCATACACATAAAGTAAAAATAGTAAATAAAATACTAAAAATAAATAAATACATACATAACAATTTAAGGCTGGGTGTGGTGGTTCACACCTTTAGCCCTAGCACTCAGGAGGCAGAGGGAGACAGATCTCTGTGAGTTCAAGGCCAGCCTGGTCTACATAGTGAGTTCCAGGACAGCTGGGGCTACAGGAGACCCTGTCTCAAAAAGACCAAAATAAATAAATAATTAAAAATAAATAAAAATAAAACAGGACAGCTAGGGGTAGAAAATAGGAATAAAACAGCCACACCAAGGGTCAGAGCCCACCTAGACCCAATACCAGGGAGTGGGATAGGGTGGAACAGTTGTGGGGATGGGAATAGACAGACCCCATTCTAGACAAGGGTTGCTCCTGCCATCACTGCTGGCTTCCACACTCACCCTTGTCAGCCAGTGACAGGGAGCTGTTGAAGTAGCTCTCCTCCACCACCCATGCTCCATCGTTGGCCTTGTTGGAGACCCCACAAGACCCCGTGCAGGTCACCCGGATAGCTGTAAGGGAAAAGGTAGCATAAGCCCCAAGTAGCCAATAGCCTTGGGCTTGTCCTTGTCCCAGCACAAGAATTCATGTAAGGCTGGAAGTACCCATAGGCCAAGCAGCCCCACTAGCAGAGGGACCAGGGAAGGCTGTCGGAGCCGCTAATCATTGAGCTGCAGCAGCCTTGTTTACTGAGTTTGTGTCATGCAAACCAGTACTTAACCTGCCCATTCAGGAGGAAGAAGTTTTCTGGAGAGCCTCACAATACCTGACCTTGAGGCATTAGTGGTAAACAAAAGGATCCAAGAAGCCTTTGATCTGACCGCTCCCTGACCCTCAGATACAGGTGGGGAAATACAGCAATTGTAACTAATTGAGTTCTTCTGTATAAAAAGACAGAACTGAAATAAATCGTGGCTGGCAGTATTTACCATGAGCCCTCCCAAGAAGCGTCTTTTCTGTCTCCTTTCTTTCTTTCAATCCTCACTCCCCCTTTCAGGTACTGTCCGTTTTGGCCGGCTGGCACTGGCAAGTGGTGCCTGGAACAGGGACCTGAAAAGTAGGGGAAAAAGTGAAGGACACCACTGGAGAAGTTAAGTGAGTGCACTCGGTACAATTGGGGAGCGGTGAGTATTTATCTTGGGAGAAGATGGGGCAAGCAAACAGTCGCTCAGTTTTTGTAAGATATATACCTTGGGCCCTAGGAGTAATGGCTGAGACTAAAGAGGAGAATCTGATAAGCTATGGCTGGGATAAAAGTGAAACCAAAACTTCTGCTCCACCAGAGCCAGATCCACCCTATTATGAGGACCCCCGTCTGAGTCTAGAAGAGGGATCTCTTGACCCTGAGGATGAGTCTGCCCTAGGAGAGGAGACGGTTGAGTATGATCAGGAGAAGTGTCCTGATCACTGGGAAATTAAGCAATTAAGGACAGAGTTAGATGCTGTAAAGAAGGAACTGTTAAAGAACAAGGAGAAAAGAATTAGGACCACCCCAAGCCACCGAAGGCTGTTGCGCCTCCCATGAATGCCATGGCTCAGAAGCCTTCAGCAGGAATCTGGTACCTGCTTAGAACCATGCAATCTCCGCTACAACAGGCCATTGGAGCTGCGGTAGACAGAGGAGAGTCAGTGCATTGATTTCAAGTCTTCCCAGTTTCTGAGCAAGTTGATCAGCAGGGCAACAGGGTGAGGTCTCATGCACCTGTGCCTTTTAAGCAGCTTAAGGAACTTAGATATCCAACCACCCAGAGGTTACTCATACCTGCCTCACCTTTCGCTCCCCACATCATGGGTCAGGCACCCTGTTGGTCACTCAGAGAACTGGAGCTATAAACTCCTCCCAGACCTGACAGGGTCATAGCGGTGGAAGATTACTCAGACTCTTAACATCTTTGTGATAAAGCCACCAAGCAGGAGGAACACAGATATCCAACCACCCAGAGGTTACTCATACCTGCCTCACCTTTCGCTCCCTACATCATGGGTCAGGCACCCTGTTGGTCACTCAGAGAACTGGAGCTATAAACCCTTGGCTCATTCTCAACCCAAGTGGCTCTCCACATACACACCCTCTCCCCTGATTACTACCAGACCCTGTCCCCACTCTTGAGGTGGTCCTGGATTCCTGCTGTAGCACTCTTTGCCCCTTGGAAGTGCCAGCAATTGGCCTCAGCCTCCATGCTGGCCCAGCCCTCATCACTCTGCCCTCCATCCAGTTCTGGAATCCACACTCCTTCTGCCATGCACTCTGAAGCCAGTCCACCACTGGCCTATTCTGACTCTGGAATCTGAATACTCCACAGGCACTGCACCCACATAGTACAGTACCATACATGCGGGCAAAACACTCATACACATAAAATAAAAATAAATAAATCAAAAAACAAAAAAAACGGGCTGAGAGATCTGTTGGGAGGATGGAGGTGCTATGGAAGGACACATCCCCCTAAAGATGCTGGATCCCACCTAGGATACAAGAATATAAGCAGTAGTGTAGACGTCACAGCCTGGCCCAGATGCTTTCCTTGTGCTGTCAGAGCACCCCCCAGTCAATGGCACAGAGCTGTCCACATTCTTTATTTTCAATGTATCAGTAATAACAAACTGGCTACTTTAGCTGTTCAGTGTATGGGTGGTTTGTTACTTGAATGACCTTTATGTAGCAGTAGATAACTGGAACAGATATGGAACAGATACCCAGCCTCACTAGAAGTAAGGGAAAACCCAGATGACTTACATGTTAACTCATCACAATGGTAAATATTAAGTATTTTGATTAGTGTTGGGAAGGAGATGGACAACCTGACACTCCTCATATTTCTAAATGTAGGCTGACAAAGGGCCAACTTGCACCTTTATATGCCAGGACACCCATCAGCTGTCCTCAAATCCCACAATATTTTATCAGAAGTTTCTCATAGCACTTCAATCAAGTACCTAGCCTGGACTCCCCACAATTCAGGTAAAGGAGCATGAATCCACTAGACTCCAGAAAAACAAGCAACATCTAAGACAGGGGGGTTCAGGTTCTGTGATCTTCCCAATACCAAGTATTTTCTCACACATCTGAGCAGCCTCTAGCCACTATAAAAGGTGAACATGTCCTATGCCACTCGCTCTCATTAGAGGTGATGGAGGCAAAACACTTGCAAACAGTATGCCTGCTGTTTCCCTGATAAAACCTGAGGCTCCTTCTTTGCCTCCATAGTATCAGGAGTCAAGTGAGAATTCCTTAAAGAACCCCTGTTCACTGGCCAAGCACTGTACAAGTAGCCTGGTATCTGCCTTCTCAAATCACTGAATCAGGCAAGACCAGAGAATATGGTTCTGCTTAAGAAAGGAAGGTCTTGGGCTGGGCATGGTGGCACACGCCTTTAATCCCAGCACTCGGGAGGCAGAGGCAGGCAGATCTCTGTGAGTTCAAGGCCAGCCTGGTCTACATAGTGAGTTCCAGGACAGCTGGGGCTAAAAGACAAAAAAAAAAAAAGAAAGGAAGGAAGGTCATTGCGAGTATACTGAGAAGTCTCCCTGCTGCTGAAAAGGTACTGGACACAGCTCCCTTTCTTTTCCAGCCCTGCAGATGCTTGTGATGGCAAAAATGGGCAGGTTGGGGGCAATCATCTAATCAGAGATCCCAATTTCCTTCATTTTCTGGCTTTTAAATTTTCAGTTGCTTTTCAATAATGTCCCTACATTCCATTCCTATTCCTCCTCCCCCAAGCAAAGGTGTCTGTGCTAGGAGGTAACCCATAGTGATCCCACCAGCACATATCTTGCCCCATGGCCATGGGACTAGGGTACATTCTATCAAGACCTCCACGACAGAGCACCAAATGGCCCCCTGTAGAACAATACTCCAAGGTGCCATCCAGGTATAAAAAACACTTCCCAACAGTGTTCAGAGCTATAATAAAAGACCAAACTGGCCAGTGTCCACCAAACTGGCAGGTGTTCACTACTGGAGACTGGGGACTGAGCTGATTCTCTAAAGAAAATCATGGTATGTGCTATGTCCCATAGAGACTTCTGGAACTTTCTCCTCCCATGGGTACTCCTACCTGCCCAGCAGCTCCTCTTGTGCACCATGATGATAAAGACGTCTCTATTCATTTCTCTCTTGGTCCTTGAACCTGACCCACTCCCAGTAGCTCCCATAAAAAGGGAGGGGACAGCATTTCCCACAAAATCTGTGCTTGTCCACCTTCCAATTGTACAATGATTGCAAGAAGAGTGACTATCTATTAGGGTGCTATGAAGACATAGCTGGTCCATGCAAAATGGGGAGACCTAAGAGTGGTAGTACTTACTTGTAAGCTCAACACTCAGAAGCCTAAAGCAGGAGGATCTCAAGTTTGAGGCCAGTCTGGGCTACATAGCAAGACGCTGTGTTTAAAGGAAAAAAAAAAAAGAAAGGAAAAAAAGGAGGGGGCTTGGAATATAGCTCAGTGGTAGAGTACCTGTCTAGCATGTATGAGGCTCTAAGTTCAAGTCCCAGCATCTTAAAGAAAAAGAAAGAAAGAGATAAGAAAAACAAGTACAGAGACTCCATCTGACTCCCAGTGGGGGCACAGTAAGTCATAAGAGAAAAACATAGTAGGCTCTGCCACTCCCCCCAGGATCTAAAAAACTGATCATTCCTCAGCTATGTGCCACATCACCTCTGAGGTAGCTAGTATCCTCATGGCTAAATGCTGACCAGCACTGTCAATCATCAAACAAGTAGTCAATGAACAAGACTTGGAACCCCAGGGCAATCATCTTGAGGAGTACAGGGGCCTCTCTCCACTGGGTCTAGCAGAAATTCAACAGATGTCCATGGTTTTTACATTTCTTTTTTTTTTTTTTGGTCTTTTTGAGACAGGGTCTCCCTGAAGGCCCAGCTGTCCTGGAACTCACTATGTAGACCAGACTGGCCTTGAACTCACAGAGATCCGCCTGCCTCTGCTGAGTGTTGGGATTAAAGGCATGCGCCACGACGCCCGGCTGGTTTTTACATTTCTATCCCAGGCCAGGACAGAATCTCCAGAATGGCCCTTAGACACACATACAACCTCAACCACCAGAAAACTGAATAATCCACCCTCCAGTCTCAGCCCATGGTCCCTAGGAACTTTTACAATAGGGACCATCAGCTGGGGGGCTCTCTTGGCCTCTGTAGGTTAACTGTCCATTTACTCGCTACCTGCCAGAAGAAAGCCAGGAGATTTAGCTCATGTGTCATTGTGGTCAGTGAAAGAAAGGAAAAACTGGGTTGCTACCTCTAAAAAGGGCCTTTCTGGGGGCTGGAGAGATGGCTCAGCGGTTAAGAACACTGGTTGTTCTTGCAGAAAACCCGGATTCAAATCCCAGCACCCACATGGCAGCTAACAACTGTCCGTAACTCCAGTTCCAGGGGATCGGACAGCCTCTTCTGTCCTCTGAGGGCATTGCATGACACGGGTGCACTTACCTACATGCAGGCATAACACTCATACATATAAAATTAATAAAATATAAAAAATAAAAATAAAAAGGGCCTGTCTTCTCTGTGCCACCCCTTCTCAGCCCACAAGCCCGTAGCCTGCATCATTCTCTCCCCTCAGCCAACTTGGGATCTTCCTCTCACCTCTCATACCTTCCTTGGGTCCAGAAGGAGCTGACCTGTTGGTTGCTGTAGCTCCTACAATAGCGAAAACTGTCCCCACCCAAACCCCAACATCAAGTGAGGATACAGCAAAGGAAGGTAATTCCATCATCATCAGGAGCCTCAACAAGGTGAGAGGCACCTATAACCCAGCTTCCTCCTAGACCTAGGCAAGAACATCAGATCCAGGGTCAGAGCTTCAGCAGGGTCTGGGATAGCTGAGAGGAGGAGGATGACTATCTTCAGCAGACACCAAAGGTGTGTGCTGCCAATAATGCAGTGATCAGGTCCAAGGAAAGTGGGCAATTGTAGTTTTGGCCAGGCAGCTCTCACAACAGGCAAAAGTGGAGGAGTACCTAGAAGGGACACCCTTAGAGCCTTGCATTCAGTGCCAGAGGTCAGACAGAGGCCACTACACTGCCCACCTGTCCCTGAGAGCTCATCCATCAAGTCCAAAACAGGGTCTTATTCATTGGAGGCAGCCATACCCAGCACAGAGGAGGCTGCATCTCTGAGTGTCCTATCAGTGGCAAGGCAGCAACATGATCCCCAGCCTCAGAGTCCCAGATGTCTGCATCAGCAGGGGGCTCAGCTCAGATCCCAGAAGCCCTAGGGTTAGGGCAGGAGGAATAAGTTGGCCCCCCTGCCGGCAAAAGCAAGCTTTAAGTAGAAGGCACAAAGTAGGTGCCCTGTGTACCCTGCTGGAGATCCGCACACTAATTGAAGAGGGAGGTCCTGCATGAGGAGCCTGGAGGAAGTGACCCAGTGCGCACTAGGTTCCAGGTGAGGGCCCAGCAGGTGAGAAGCTTAGAGGACCTTGGACACTTGGTCAAAGGCCTGTATGTGTTCATGGCCAGGGTCGCCTGGGCACAGTGAACAAGCGCTCAGGCCCTCACCCGGAATCTGGCGACTCCTGGGCGGAGAGGACAGTATGGGACAGATGCGGAAGGACTGGGCCACCGAGCTGCCTGCCCCGCCCTGGCCTCCGCCGGCCTCCCACCACAGCCGGTCTGCGGCGCCTGCAGGCCCGTCGCAACCCAGGACCCTTGGGAGACTGCGACCCCGGCCCGGAGCCCACTGGCCGCTCGGTCTCCCGGAGCCCGGCCCCACTGCAGGTACGGATCCGGACGCCCCCTCCCCCGAGGGGACCCGGTGCCCACCTCGGAAGGGCAGTGGCGCTCCTAGGCGCACGCGCACTGCCCCGGCCAGCGGCTCCCCGGGACTGTAGACCACGCGGCCCTGGCTCAAGCGGATCTCGAAGAGCTGCACTCGCCCCATACCGCGGCCTCCCGCGCCGCGCACGGAAGCCTACTGGGGCGGCAGTTCCGAGGCCCGCCCCCGACGGAGGACACGCCTGGACCGCAGGACCCGCCCCGGCCAGGGCGCCCAGTCGGTGCCCCCGAGACCCGCCCTCCACCCGAGCCCCGCCTTCTGGTACCGGTCCCAGAACTGAGGACACGCCCACGGCCTGAGACACGCCCCCGGGATCCGCCCCAGACACGCCCCTTTCTCCCTGCTCTCCTGCCCCTGACTTGTGCCCGCCCGGAGCGTCCACTTCTGTGGACAGCACCCCAGGTCTAAGGACCGGCCCGGGCAGCCCTGCCTACCGCTGGGTGGGCGACTGAGCTGCGTTCGGAGCCCTTCCTGCGACCCAGGACTCTGCAGCCCAAAGATGAGGCCGGCTCACCTGTCCGCCGGGCGGGGCAGCCTGCTCCCCCAGCCTTAGGAAAGCACTTGCCCCAGGCGCGGGCACCGGCTTCTTGCTACGCTCAGCCTAACCGGTGCCCTCGTCTTCCCTTGCGCCCACTCTCGGACTCCGACATCCTGTTTCCCTTCAGACTAGGATGTGAAGAGGGATGCTCAGCGCTCTGGCGGTGCTGGTCCCCAGCCTTGCCCTGCGGCCCCGGTGCCCCGTGCAGGAGCCCTGCGCTTTCTGGACTGTGCCTAGAGGCCCAGAAGATCTGTGCTGAGCCATGAGGCCTGGGGCAGTCAGCACTGAGAGCTGGGACAGGAGACCCCTGCAGGGTTTGGGAAGCCGGGAGGCTGCGGAAATGATGCAGAAGAGCGTGAGGAACAGATTCTCTCTGAGATTTTTTATTTTTTTATTTTTATTATTTTATCTTTTTGAGACGGTCTCCCTGTAGTCCCAGCTGATCTAAACTCACTATGTAGACCAGGCTGGCCTTGAACTCACAGTGATCCGCCTGCCTCTGCCTCCGGAGTGCTGGGATTAGAGGCGTGAGCCACCACGCCCGGCTGAGATTTTAATTTTTTTATTTTATTTTTATTTATTTATTATTTATTTATTTGTTTGTTTATTTTTTGGTCTTTTTGAGACAAGGTCTCCCTGTAGCCGCAGCTGGACTGGATTCGGTAATGGAGACCAGGCTGGCTTTGAACTCACAGAGATTCGACTGCCTCTGCTTCCCGAGTGCTGGAATTAAAGGCGTGTGCCACCACACCGGCTTGAGATATCTTTTTTTTTTTTTTTTTTAACAAAAATCCATACTTGGCTTGGAACTTGTCGAGTACACTATACTGGCTGCATAATGAATTCCAGGGATTTGCCTATTTCCACCTCCCCAACACTGGGACTGCAAGCCTGTGTCACCACATACAATTTTTGTTGTTGTTGTAGTTGCTGATTTTGTTTTTTGTTTTTGTTTTCTTAACCTGGATTTATGGAACTGAACTTAATCTTTCTGCTTTCAAGGAAAATACTTTACTGACTGAGCCATTTCCTCAACCCTTCACAAAGACTCTTAATAGACAAGGCAGTTTTGAAAGAAAAAACAAAACAAAGCATCATATTTTCTGGTTTCAAATTGTGTTGTTGCATGACACAGGTGCACTTACCTCCATGCAGGTAATACACACATA